ACTTAGTTTTATTAACCTATATATTTGTTTTATTTCCTCGCAAAAAGCATTGAAAACTCTTGTAAGAAACTTGAGTGTAAAAGGTTTTTCGAATCTTTTCAATTTGGCCCTTATTTGTAAAACCTTACTTTCCGCACTCGTATCCTTAATAACTATAACCACTGAGGCCAGAGGTCATTTTATTTGCACATTCATTAAATAGGTAAAATAAATAAAACAAGTTAATTTATCAAACTTTAATATATTTATAGATAAGTTACGTACTTCTTATCCTAATTACACTGTACACACAAGTAGTCATTTTAAGTGCTAAAAACTTAACATATATAATTAAATGAGTATAGTGGTATATTGTGTTTGTATAATAATGTAGTGACTCGATACGAGTCAATATAGATATTTTAACTAAATCACACTGCGTTGACAAATAGAAAACCAGCTATTTCAGTCGAATACCTTTCATAATACTGTGGACTCAAAACTATAGTTGCACTAGAACAGTATTTCTCAAAGTGGACGATAACGCCCCTTGTGGACGCTGCAAGTCTAAAATGGGGCGGTAAGAAGCCCAGAAAAATGGGGGCATTGTATGGCTTATGGTGCGATTTGTAATTTTATCTAGACCCTTCTACACTGACCGAGCTCTCAACTCTGGATTACTCAAACTAACTCAGTTCGATATTTCTCTCCATGTAGTCCATAAATATCTATCTTGTTTTATTAAATAAATAAAATAAAAATCGTGTCAAATAATGTTTAATCATTAATTTTATTTGAGTAGGTGAAAAAAAGGGGCGCTGTAAACAATTAGCGCTAAAGTGGGCAGTAGACGAAATAGGTTTGGGAACCCCTGCTCTAAAACAACGTTTCTTAGAGTGTGCTCTGCAAGGCATAGAGGTCCACGAAAACATTTATCATATTTTAGTAAATTACATAATGGAATTATTTAAACTAAAATACACATGTGATGAGGGAGAATGAAAACATAAAATGATAAAATAAATGCCGATTTTAGATGCTGATACTATATCAGACTTATTTCTGTCAGTTCTTGGGAGGAAACGATGACAGCAAAATGGACCGTAGAATTTAATATTGATTCCTTTACACGTAACATAATTTTAAAAGTGAAACTTGCGATTCAAAAACGTAAAAATAAATTTTCGATGATAAAAGACAGTAGAAAAGCTAAAAATATGACGATGCTTATAGTAAATTGTTAATATTTAAATTAAATTACATTACGTTTTAAAGAGAGATCAATAAGAAATTCTTTCGTCTTGAGTAGTTTTTTTAATTAATATGTTGTACGCAAATGTTCCAAAATACGTAGCGTAGTTTGATTTCGAGAAGTACTTTTTTTGGCAGGAACAGCGCCTAACGCATGTTCCCTGGGTCAAAAAATATTTTTATCATTTCGTATCCAAATTAGTTTAAGAACCGTTGCTTTATAAGTATACCGATAAATTGTTACTTCAGCCTGTTGAAATAAAAATTAAAACTGAAACTGATTTGTGCTCTTATAATCACTTTTCGATATATGTTTGTCCTACTCTGCGGTATGAAAAATACTTAAGTTAGAGCAGGATAGCAAACGAAACTGTCCATAAAACATTGAATTATGATTTTAAAAGTATCTATAAAAGTAGGTATGAAGCAAAAAGTTTTTGTAATAAAAATATCAGTATGTAATCATGATTACTAGACTTTAGTATCCTATGCCTACTTAGATTATAATCAAATATCCATTATTTTCCAACCAAATCTTTCTACAAATTACTGGTTGACATATTAGACAAATTGAAAAAGATAATAGAGGGAGGAGGTGGATGAAATTTTAACTAGTTACTAAAAATAGAATAAGTCGAATTTTTCGTATCAGCAAAATTATAAACTAAAACTCGAGAAAAAATAATTATATTATCTTTAAATTTCGCTGCCACATATAAAAAAAAATGTCGTTTTTATTCTCGACACATGACAAACAAACTTGCATGTGTATCGGATCTAAAGTCTGTAAACTAGCAAGCGCGTAATTAATAAATAAACTAGTATATACAAAGAGCATTCAGGTGTTCATATTGACGCAGGTTTCGCAGTCGACCATCGACCCTGTCCGCATCCGCGAGCGATTGCGGCGGTGTCACGCGTGTTGCAGTGTTCAGGTCCTGAACCAGGGCGCGGTGGGGGCGGGGGCGGGGGCGGGGGGGGGGCGGTGGGCGCGGGCGGCTGGTCCCTGGCCCGGTTCCTGCGCTCGAGGCGGGCGCGCGACACGTAGGGCGCGGGCTGCTTGAGGTGCACGGTGCGCACGTGCAGCTTGCGGCTGTTGGACTGCCCGAACGCCTTGCCGCACACCTCGCACTCGTACGGCTTCACGCCGGTGTGGCTCTGTGCGTAACGCGACTGCGTGTACCACCCGCCCCGTACGGACTCACGCCGGGAACACCCGGGACGCGTCAATGCGATATGTTTTAGCGATGGACGTTATTCGCGATAGACAGTTATTCAACTAGTGATCTGCCTGAACCGCGATCACTCGTGATTCAGTTATACAATAACTATCTATTTTCCATAACGTTCTAAAATTAAACCAAATTCACTCGTATGTCAACAGCATAAAGTCGATCTTTGATTTGACGATCACCAAGAAGTAGCGATCACAGGTTTACAATAACTGTCTATTATCCATAACGTTCTAAGGTTAGACCGAATTCACTCTTATGTAAACGACATTACGTTGATTGTCGGTTGCCTCGCTTCAAGGTAGCATCGATCACCAATCAGCGACCACAGATCGCAGCGATACGTAGACATCTTTATATATTAACGCTTTACATTGACGGTCATGTAGTACAATTTTAATAACGGTATAGAATGTAACGCGTAATGTAGAGCGTTTAAATAATGTGGATCGCAATCAATCCAATCTGTCATGTGTGAATGAAACAAAAACAGGATGTCAGTATACGTGTGAATGAAATAGGTATATGCTAGTTCGCTCACGTTATTCGGGTTTCGGACTGATCAAGTAACCAACCCAAAATTGAGTTTTATCGCGTTAGCATAAGAGTAAAATTCGGTTTGACTTTAGCGTTGTAGAAATAACTAGTTATCAAAAATAGACAGTTTTGATATCGGTGATTGGCGATCTGATAGCGATTGCGTTACGTGATTTGAAAAATGGATAACGACCCATCGCTAATATGTTTCTCGCCTTGTCGTGCTCGGTTCGTTGTCGGTTTTTAGCTCGCTTCGAAGGGAGTTTACGGACGAGACAGGGAACACCGTCACATTCTCGTTTGAGTACAGTGGCTCGGGATTTAAATCGTTTAATTTTATTGTTAATGGTTTCATTTTTTGGATTTTTTAATAAAATAAACTAGTGCACGTATACTAAAGCTGCACTAGCGAAGTCGTCCATATAGGAGAACGGAGGGAACCAGACTGAGAATTCACCGGGAATGTGAACGGTGCTCCCATTTCTCTACGAGTCTCGATGCGAGCCTTGTCGGTGAGACTTCTCGGCGTGAGTCTGTACGGCCTATAGGGCGAATTCGCCGCGGCTATGCGAGCCGAACGAAAATAAGATCTAGTCAACACCCATGCAGTTAGTACTTATATAACAGGACTTGTAAACCGTTATTTTATAAATTAAAGTATACTTTTTATTGCTCTTTGTATAAAACTAATCCGAGCTTAAACTACGCAATCGCAGATCAAACACGCTAAGCACTACAGCGTAGAGCTTTTTACTTGTTTACGCTTACAGGCGGCATATTTCCATATTTGGTTATATGAGTACCCGTACATTTGAGACTGCGCAACTGATATCGCTCCTCGATTTTCAGAACAGAAAATCGAAAGTCGATCAAGCCGATCAAGCCCTCATACAAGTGAAGCGATATCGCAGGCCATCAGTACTATTAATTAACAAAGTTTAGCGTTGGAGTAAATTTACACCGAGACTGCACTTATAGTGTTAGTCAAAATTCATATGATTAAACAGAGACTTAGCGTTAACCTAGAACGAGGTCCTACGGGAGTAATATTTACTCCTGGAAGTTAGTGGGTTTGCTTATTCTCTGTATAACATGTATTTGGACTAATACTAAAATTGCAATTTCAGCGTAAATTTACTCTGACGCTAAACCCTGTTTATTAATAGCACAGCATGAATTTTCAATTCGATGTCGAGAAGATTCGTGACCGTAATAGACAGATTATGAATTTCATCAGTAAAACTAAAACTTGCGAATTTCCATACATTTTATAAAGGTTAGCATTTCGTGCGATATCATTGACAGATTATGAATTTCATCAGTAAAATAAAAACTTGCGAATTTCCATACATTTTATAAAGGTTAGCGTTTCGTGCGATATCACTTCGGGTTCGATTACTAATGTCAGTGTGCCCTTATTGGTTACATCATCCTACGATAAAATGTGGTGGTAAAAATGTTACTTAGCATTATTCGCATTGAGCGATACTAAATACCAATTTAGACACGACACTGTAAAGACATGATTTAAATAAAAACTCACTCTGAAATGTCGATCGAGAGCGCCCTTGCATTTGAATGCCTTGAAGCAGACGGAGCAGGGGTACGGCCTTGTATCCGAATGTGTCCGCTCGTGCATCAACAAGTTGGTCCGGTTGAAGAAAGCCTTCGGGCACTGAGTACATTTGAACGCGCGCTCCTCTTGATGTGTTCGCTTGTGGTATACCAAGAAAGCATTCCCCTGAAAACAAGGAGTGTAATGTAGGTGCCAGACATAGCATCGAAATCTTAATATTTTTTTGTTTTGCTTTGAAAATAATTTGTGAACACATTTGTTGCAAAGTGTTATGAAACAAGGATAAAAACTAAAAGATGATAAATTAAATTCAATAATTTATTTAAATTAAATAAAGAAAAATAAATAAAGGGGACGAGGTGACTGGTGAGGTGGGAAGTGAAGTAATGTGAGTGAGAGTGTCAGTGTAGGTGAAGGGGCGTGGGTCAGCGGTGAAGTCCGTTGATGATGTCGATGTGCTCCTCAGAATTAGCCGACGACAGCTCAAGGAAACAGAGATGTACTTCAGCAGCCTTGAGGGGCGTCTGGATCCAGAGCGTAAATTCGGCGAGGCGTAGTCTCTCGATGCGTCGAACAGGAGATTCTTCGGCAGCCAAGAACTGAGAGCGTAAATCGGTGAGGAGTAGTCTCGATGCGTCGAACAGGAGGTTCTTCGGCAGCCAAGAACCGAGAGCGTAAATCGGCGAGGCGTAGTCTCGATGCGTCGAACAGGGGATTCTTCGGCAGCCCAGAACTGAGCAGCAGCTCGGGCCTAAGGCGTATACTCGCAGACAGCCTCCAGGAGAGGTAATTTTGGTCTAAGATTGCAGGCGTGAAGTAGCGAAGGAGGTTATAGTGGAGTATTGAATTGTTGTCGTCTAGTTAAAGCCAGAAAGATGTCATGAGACTTTGAGACCGTAACTTTGAAGAGTTCCCGGGGCAGTCGGCCCCGGGAAATAGGCCTTTTAATAATTTAGCTAGCTCTGTACGAGCTCCAAAAAGCTAACTTGGCAACTGTTGCCGTTGAAGTGATCACGAACTATTTGGGCGAGGCTTTATATACCTGAAGACGAACTCAAATTTAGAAATAAATGATTTCAAATTAGAACCCTAAAAATTCAAAAACTACAGAGTTTCAATGCCTAAAACTGACAAACAATGAGTCAATTTTCATGAAGAGTATCAAATATAACCATAGCAACGAAGAAAAACTTTGATGTCAATTCTGTCAAAACAATTAAAGCGATAATTTGTGTTATAATATATAAATAAGTGTTTTAATATGATTAGAATTGGTAAAAAGTATAACGAAAAACTATGAAAGCTACAGGTAAGGGTTCACATTAATGTAAGTAGTAAAAAACATAGGATGAAAGTTCGTAAAGCTTTGGATAAGTTTATATTACAGAATTTTAATGGTTACAGATATAAAATTGAAGGTCCACAGTTATAGAATGGATAAAGTAAAGAATATAAATGGAGAACGCTAAAAAGTTTATCGATATGAGCAAAATTAGTGATATGAATCTAAGGAATGAAAACGATATGAAAGGTTAGTTACGACAAAAGATGGTTGCCGCGCAAACGTTAAAGTTTGTTTACATATTAATTTACGCACAAAACCCGACTCATGACAGCAAACTATAAATGTGTGTTCAAACTTTGCTGAAATTCGGGAAATGCCATGCCACATATTGCGCCTTTGTAGGTATTTGCATATTTGAGCAAATGTCTGGAATCGGCTTAAGAATAACATCAAGTTTATTTGACAGTCAAACAGCCAGTTGCACAAACGTTCATTAAAATGTCCATTAGTGTAAAGCAACATTACTCATACAAATTTCACATTTATTAGAGCTTAAAGGCGTTATTTTAACCTTAATGGACGTTTGTGCAACTGGTCGAAAGTCAAGAGATGGCAGCTGCGCTGGTGAATTATAAAGGGAAGTGATTCGACTTTTTTATTGCTTTTAAAGAGCATAACATACGATTATTATATGGTCCTTTACATTTATAAAAAATACAGAATATTAGCGATTTATCAGTAAGATAAATCAAAACTAAATGAAATGGTGATGTTGCAACATAATATGTTGCCCTTTTACGTCCCCACTGCAGGGGTTCAGGCCTTCCTTATGGATGGTTAAGGAGGATGGGCCATGACCCTCCACGCTGGCCCAATGCGGATTGGAGGGTATTAACGACTGCAAATGCAGCCGGGACCAACGGCTTAACGTGCCTTCCGAAGCACGGAGTAGCTCGAGATAATAATTTTTTGGTCACCCATCCCGTGACCGACCCTTGCGAAAGTTGCTTAACGACTACGATCGCGGGCCGCGGCGCTAATCCACTACGCCACCGAGCAACAGATGGTTTTACATATACGTTGATAATATAGAAACATTGTTATTCTCACCCGGAAGCTCTTGCCGCACACGTCACAAACGTAATCCTTCTGTATCGGATACTTCTTGTCGGGATGGGCGCGTCTGAAGTGAGCCCAGTATTGGCGCGCGTTACATATCTCTTCAGAACACTAGAAAAAATAGAGATAGCATCGTACAATATCGTTTCTAATCGATCGAACTGTTAGTAATTTCTGTATTTATATTGATTATGATGCAAAAGGTGAAACTATACATTAGTGGTGTGATACTCTGTCGCTGTACCGCCATGCTGAAGAGGTATAATTCCTTTACTAATAAAATAAACATGATTTGTACATAAAATAGTAATAAAAATTGTACGTGTCGTTTACAGTATAAATAAAACATCGATGTGGTACTGCCACAGAGCATCCTCAGTCGCCATGCGACAAGATGTTTTTACCAAGCAGATATTATTTAAAGATTGTTTGACATAAACAGTTTACAATCAACTATAGGTCATAGGTCATATTATATAAAACTGTTAAATTTCCCCACTCGATTTTAAACAATAATAGTTTGAGTTTAGAGGTCAATATCCTGACGTGCAGTCGCGTGTGCGACGATCGACTATTCAGGGGGAGGGTGGATAATTAGCACATATTTAAACGGGCGGAAACTTATATTTTTATTCGGGGACAACATAAATTCTAGAGCGAGCCTTATACAGGTACCGAAGCCCTGTAACGTCCGTGCACATTACTATAGGTAGATTTACTCTCCGGACGATTTATGGTCAATGCTGGCCGCTAATATTTTGAATAACATCTTTTTCCCCGTTCGAATTCGCTTTCTACTCGAGACCTTTCTTAGTTTACTTAATTATAGTAATTTACTTAATTATATATTATTTGCTGATAAAATCGAGAGTTTGAAGAATTACACCAGTATATGATTGAGCAACCGTGAGCCACTGCCGATCCCACCATTAGAGTACTCACGTGGTCGCACGTGGTCGGGAAGGTGAGCGCGGAGGGCTTCTTGCCGTAGTTCCGCGGCCGCTTGCGCGCGTGCTCCCGCCTGTGGTGCAGCCGCAGCTCCTCCGCCGAGCTGAACGCGCCGCCGCACGATCTACATCCGTTCCTACCCGATCACACCGCGCTAATTAATGCCATGACTAGTCTCGTGACCGATATTTATAATAATATAAGACTAATAAACCCTTTTTATGTCGTAGGCTAAATGCATTATGAACTGTCCTATATGAGTTTTTTTTATTTGAAAACATTAACTTCTACATTTTACTCGGAAAATGCGTCCTACCTCATCTATTATAAGAATGAATTTTAAGTAAAAAATTAAAGTTAGGTAGTTATCAGTGCAAGTTGTGAATAGGTTTGAGCGTGCACAATAGCACAAAAGATCAGCACAGACATTCTAAAATTCATAAGTCAAAATAGTTCTAATTTGAATGATGTAGGCCTTAAAGTTGATATGGGATGAATGTTGAGGTAACGCCAGTAGATTAGATCACCCCAAATGGAAAAACGGGGACAATGGCAAGCATATGACGATGATCTATATCAAAATAATGAATACTGACTTGAAATTGGAATGTTTGATGTGTTTGACGGAGGTGACCATGTGTCGCTTGTACGCCTCCTCCGACACAAACTTGACGTCACATTCTGCACAGTAAGGACCAGCTTCGTTCGTTGAACCATTACTCTCCTGAAAATAATAACCATTCTTTATATAACAGATGAGCTTTTTCTAATTATTTTTCTAAATATGACAAACCCATGCTGATATGCTGACGGCATTTGTAGCGCTGTTCTTTACAAATAACAACCTCGAATGAGACGTCGAGTACAGCACTGTCACAGCATAGAGGTTCACTCAAATAATACCTACTTCAAAAGTTAATAAAGGTTTTATTTGATTAATTTAACTTTAATTAATTTAACGTTTAGAATTTGTATGAACAATAAATTGAACTTTGTGTATGTCTATAAATATTCTATTGCAAAAGTTAAATATGTATAATGTTGCCGCATCTAAATATATAAATAAAATCAAATGAACCTGGTTTCATATATTTCCATATATTATATATAATAAATTACTACATTAATGAGCTGTCTATAAAATACCAATATTATAAAGAGTTAATATTTAATTGTTTGTTTGTTTTCATTGAATAGCTCCGTAACTACTGAACTGATTTCAAAAATCCCTTATGTTACATGTCACTTTAGATTCTAATTTACCCTACTACACTAGGAGTAAACAGCTAGTAAAATATAGATCGAGATAAAAAAGAATCTTAATACAAATTGCTTAAAAAATCCACTTGGCCCCTTTCTGGTCCCTTTCAATAGGGCAATGTGAATGCAAAATTAATCAAAATATAATAAAAAAAAGAATTGTAATTATAATTACTACTATATTAATTAGTTACACCTATCTACTGTATAGACTGACCGGGACATCCTTGTGCATCATGGTGCGATGCATGGAGAGGCCGAGCTTGCTCACGTACGAGTACCCGCACACGTCGCACACGAACTCTGATGGGTGCTTGATGCGCACGTGACTCAAGTACGACGTCCACTTCCTACATTTATTATATACATATACAGTCGGTTTCAGAATTGAGAAGAGTACAAAATCTCAACTGATTATTCTCAATAACTTAAGTTTTATATGGCAAATACGTGCTAGTTTTATAGAACTTCTATCAATTGAACGTTAAAAAACTTCAAATCAGAAATGAAAACATTTTTAGGTGACGTTTGAAATGGTTTCAGTATGGTTTAAAATGAGCATAAATTTAAATTCTTAATTAAGAAACCAAAATAAAACAAAGAAGTGATGGTATAATTTTTTGTAAGTGTGACAAAATATTATCTTATTTTTTATATAATAAATACACATAAATCTTAATTAATGAATGTCTAAAGATATAAAATTTTCAAAAATCTATATATTTTATTAAAATAAGAAAATCTAAACTCACGTGGATATTTCATCGCAGTATTGGCATTTGTAGGTGACGCCTTTGTGCCATCTTTGGTGTTGTTTTGCTTGAGTTCTAAGAAAAATACATACTATGTGAAAGTTGGATTCATCAGACTAAAGAGAATACGAAAAAATCAAGAGGCAAAGCAATTAGATGACATAGGCAGATGAATATGTGTTAAAAGTATATTGCGACCTTAAACATACAAAACATATATCTTTCAGCAATCAATTCAAAACATTAAATTTATTAAAACCTAATGTACTATTAACTGTACTAGTGATATTGTATTCGAACTTCTGTTTTTTTTTTTTGGACTATATTGGTTTTGTACAATTCAATGTTAGCACATTTCTTTAAACATCCTCTTAAGTCTATCTTAGGGTGTGTTCCCAGAGGCAGATCTACAAGCTTGGCGGTCCGTTTTTTAACTCTAATAATTTAGACACTGTATATGAATTTATTTTCATAACAACATTTTTTGAAAGACTTACGTTGATTGTTGGTTATGAGATGTAAATCTTTATCAGAATAAAGATAACTTACGTGGTCTTGGAAACGTAGGAGCAAGATTTGCAAGCATATTTCTTCTGATGGTTGGATGCGTGCTTCTGTAGTGTGCGATTAGTTTTAAACCTAAACTTGCATATAGGGCACTCGATATCACCGGAACTCTGTTGGTATTAAAATAGATAATTCATTAACAATTTTTTTTGGTTAAATTGCTATTTTTTTAAATCTAAAGAGGCATCAGTTAGGCGTGATTTAAGAATATTATATGTAGTATTTTGTATTAATCTTAATTTATCGATTGTGGCTCATTTGGCTTCAAAATGCTTATTGCTATATCAATAGGTATGAACAGAAATAAGTTATGAATATTAAATATAGAATGTACACTTGCTAACTTTATACTTTTAATTGTTGAAGAGAACATAGTGTAAAGAAATATCTAACCGGATCATGTTTGCTGACATGATGTTTCCAAGCTTCTGTGTCGATGAAACCCCGGTAACAGAGGTTGCATTGAAATGGTGCATTCAGATAGTTTGAAGTCTCTTGTCGCTTCTTCACCTCTTCCATTTGTTCTTCTAACTATATCAAAAAAGTAAATGGTTTTAATGGAAATTCAGCCAATATCCTCGAATAAGCATTCATGGTAAATACAACAATGACAATGAAAAGGTCTCACAGAAAGGTTTATGACAGTGACATATTCTTCCAAATCAATGTCCTCGGGGTCAACACCTCCAGTGTTCTGTGTCCTTCTTTGCTTTTTATCTTTGTTGTCCTTTTGGTCTGCATTATCTGCTTTTTTGGGTCGACCTCGTTTCTTTTTCTGTGCTGTATCTTCTAATATTGGTAATAGTAGTTCAGATGTGTCTACAGAAACCTAAGCAAATCAAAATTTAATACAAAAATACAAAAGTGTAACCAAAATAATTCTTTTTTTTAAATTTTCTACAGAAACTTGTAATTTATCTATAATATTCATATCAAACCCACCTCTAGACATTCTTCTTTTACATCTTCATCCTCAGGTTTTACTTCTTTCTTTTTCCAACTTTTTCTCTTTTCAGTCTTCTTTCTCTCTTTCTTTTCTTTATTGCTCTTATGATAAGACAATGGTTCATTGTCATCATCACTACTATACAGATTAGGACTAATTATATTTTCAAGTGGAATTTCTTCTTTGATAACTTCTATTTCTGCATTATACTTAAAATAATTATCATTTTTTTCATTATCATTGATTTTTTCAATTGCTGGTTCATTTTTTATTATTTCTTCATATATAAAATAATAGTCATTGCTTTCATTTAAATGTTTTATATGAATATTGGAAGTTAAATTCATGTTCAGTCTATCTATTTGTGAAATACTTTGTGGTGAGATCTATGAAATAATATAAATTAAAGTAACATTAGAAATCTACACGGATAAATAATTTATTGGTAGAGAATTTTTAGTCTAGATTAAAATTATTGACATCCTACATCAATTTAATTTCATTCACATAAATAACTTCATTTTTGCAATGATTAAGGATACTTATTAAAATGTGTTTACTAAACTGATAAATATTTTTTATATGATTATTAAAAAAAAAAAAGACAGATAGAACCATTCTCATCTCCTGGACAAATTTGTCTCACAGTAGAACTCATTCATATTATTGGCATTTAACCTAAAGTTGAGCAGAGATCAGAATTGAGAAATGGCAATACTTGAAGAGTAAAAGTTTGTATGTGGAATTTTATAAAATCTACCTAACTATACCTTCATCGTAGGTTTCCTACTAGGAGGGAGGGCAGGCATAGGGGTGGGTGTATTTTATAAAATAACATATTTAGTTTCATTTATATAGGTAGGTACTCACTTCTCCTGTGGTCCTTAGGGTATTTAACAAAAAGACTTGACCTTTTAAACATTTTTCTCTAAAGAAATGGAATTTTTTAATCAAAGCAGCACACTCATAACAGGCATATGATGTTGGCAAAACTACACCAGCAAGCTGTTGGTAAAAGAAATTTATAATATAATAATTTTGTAGTAATTAAATTTAATAATCTTTGTATATGTAGATCTAAAAAATCATGTATAGTTTATTATTACTTTAAAATACAGAAAAACTTTAAATAGGTATTTTAGTGATTAAAAACTTACATTGATACCAATGTCTTTGAGGCAGTACTTCTCAAAAGGATATGTCGATAAGTCATACATTCTTACATTAGTAATTAGGCATATCCTACATATTATGACCTCATCCATTGTTTCTTACAATTAAATATACGCAAAATAAATAAAGCGTATTTTTAATTCATACATTCGCGGCTGTCGGTCGTAGAGTTATAAAATAATAGAACTTCTTCACATATTTATATCCTTCATTCATTCTTAATCAACATTTTCAACGAATATAAATAATATGCTATTTATCCAACCATTTTAAGCAATACGATTTAGGTAAAATATTTATAGAAAAATTCATTACATTTGATTGATTTCTTTTTCTATACAAACAAAATATACGAAGATTGCCTAGTATTATATTATTTTCTCTATGCACAAGACGCCACATGACATTTTTTTTAATAATCATTTATTTATAGCCATGGGTGCTGGTCCTTCAGCCTACATTGTATAATATTTAACATTTACAAAATAGCTACCAACCGACACACTTTTATATTTTCTATAGCATTAAAAATATATTTGAACAACGGGACAAAATAATCTGGATTTGCTAAGAAGTCTATTATGCGGCGGGGAACGCTTCTTTCACTTCAAAATAAAGACTATAGGCAAAAGACCTATATTACCTTTCTTCATGTGTCCAGTATTATGTATTATCTATGGTAATATCATCCACGAACACAGACCGTTGCAAATTAAATGAAGGGCATCTGAATATCACAAATTATATAGATAATGCAGATTTTGCAAATGATCTAAATTAGCTCTAGCTTCTCTAAGTTCTGTTTCGAGCCACCCACCAATAATTGCCTGTCATTTTAAGGGATTTACAGTAATCCCAAAATTAACTGACCATGTCCTGATATTACATAGAGCTCCATTTCAGCTCGGAGAGCCACCACCAACTTCTTTAAGGGTCTTCTGCAGATAAATCTGAAGATCGTCTGTATAGAAATAATAATATCATTTTGTCTCCCTTCGAGCTAGGTGTAGTTAGCCCGGGGACAGCGGTCCTACCGATGTAGGTTGGACGTTATATTAATGCTTATTGGTAATTTAACTTATTGTAGGCGATGTAGGTTTCTTTCTTCTAATTGCCTTGTAGTTATTAATTTATGATGTTTGTACAGGTACAGCGCCATCTCGGTACTTGCTGTTGAAGTTTCTTGCAGTTCGTCATGCTATCGATTGCTGTGACGATGCTAGTCTTCTCGCTATCGATTGTTGTGGCGATGTTAGTGCGGTGAATTAGATGTCGCTACGTATCAATAGCACAAGGGACAAAATCACACTCTGAGGAACACGAGCAGTGACATTATTCCAACCAGACATATCACGATCCTTACGCACAACCTGCTGGCGATCACGAAGATAATTTGAGAACCAATCCAATAACAAAGCTGAGATATAGAGCTATTTTAGAATGACCAATAAGAGATCGTAGTCAATCATATTGAATGCGTTGGAGAAATCAATAAGAACAAGAATGGTGACCAGTTGTGTCTCCATGCCTACTCTATGACTTTAAGGAGTGCAGTTATGGTGCTGTGACCAGAAGGAAAGCCGCATTGCAATGGAGTGAGTAGGGATGTTGAATGAAAAAATAAGGATAACTGTTGATGAGCAGCTGGCTCCAGGATTTACGAAAGGAAGGGAAGGATAGAAATTAGCCTGAAGTTGCTGAGTTGTTTTCGAGAGAAAATTTTGGGAAGGGTAATAACGAAAGCTTTACGCCAGAAAATTGAAATTCACCCACAAGTAAAGAGGAATTGATGATATAGACGATAACAATGTAGAATATGATAAAGAATGAGTAGGATCATTTTTCTGCTTACATCGTCACATTTTTCCTTATGTCATCGGATGGGAGAAAAAGAGAAAGATTCTGAAGAAGATTGAGCCCTGGAAGATATATAATTCATTGTATTAGATTTGGTGACAGCGTCTAAAGAAGAATTAGAAGAGAAATTAATATTAAATTCATTGAGAGAAAATGAGAAACTCAGGCTTCCGATCTGTTTCGCTTGAAAACGCGAAAAGCACGATCCCTCCCAGAGGACTGCAAAAACGGCTTTGGCACCGCCAACTGAAATCTCTAGAAAAATGTATTCAGCAGAACACGAGTAAGCGGATGGTGAAGAAATCAATGTTTTGTAGGAAATATCACTACGGAGATATATTGCAACACCTCCACCACGCCTGCCTGTATGGTACCACTTGTTCAACACTTATTCAACTCCCGCCGAGATAATACAAATAAGTGCTCCTCTAAAACGAAGAAAAACAACGTATAAAATATGATTAACTTACACAAAAACGCATAATAACAATAAAAACAAAATTAAAGCTACATAGTTTCAGAAAATAAAAATATTTAATTATCACAAATAAATAAAATTTTGACATTTTGTTGTCAGAGTTGCCACTTCTATTCACTTTCAATTTCCCAACTATATGGGAGCCTTTTCTTTTCATTTTATGTGGCCATCATTTAACTAAATATCTTGTGTTAATTCATTATATGGGTCAGCTTGAGTATCGACGACTACGCAAATTGTGTTGATATTTTTTCATACACCCACACAGATGCTAAACACCCACATAGATACAACTTTTTAAAAATACGTATAGGTCTACCAGAATCTCATGGCATTTAAAAAAAAATGTTAATTTCATATTGTAACACTCATTTCATATTTCGTTATTTTATGAGAAAATGTCGAAAAAACGTCTTAAATCTCAAGTGAGGAATATTGTTTTCAATGTCTATAATAAAATTCGTGAGGAGAAAGATGAAAATCAACGTGTCACCACGCTGGGCAGGCGGGTTAGTGACCGCAGTGAATGATATATCATTTCGGACTGTGTTTTCAGTATAGGAGACGCTGCTGCCCACCATCAGTATAATCCCTTTATCGCCTTTTACGACGCCCACGGAAAGATAGGGGGTGGTTTTATTCTATTAATATAAATATTTATTAAACATAAGTACATAAATATGTAGCAAGCATAATTAAAGTTAAAAAATATTTTATTTTTCAGACTGATTCTTAAAGAGATTGGCTTTGAATATGTTAAATGTCAATCGAAAAGAGTAATTTTGATGGAACGAAATGACATAAAATTACAAAGATATAAATATTTGGAACGCTTGAATAAAAACAGAGCGGCTGAACAACATAAAAAATTAGATGTTATATATTTAGATGAAGCATACATTCATGGTTCATGTTCCGTGAACAAGTGCTGGCAAAGCAAAGACTTTGCAGATCCATCTAAATCTATATCACTGGGAGCAAGGTGGATTATTGTTAACGCCGGTGGAGAAAATGGCTTTGTACCAAATTGTTGCCTTGTATATAAATCAAAAAGTAAGTCTGAAAAGGTGATAGATAGGTGACTATCACCACGACATGAATAAAGAAAATTTCACGAAGTGGGTGACCGATAAGCTTATTCCAAATCTGGCAAAACCATTAATTATTGTGATGGATAACGTAAGTTATCATTCCGTTCAGCTTAACAAACCACCCACACATGTTAATCGTGTCGCTAAAATAAAAGAATGGCTAACTGCAAACAACATTCATTTTGAGGATAAGTGGCGTAAATGCAAGCTAATTGAAGATGTCCAGAAGAACAAGTTTGATCCTGTATACGAAATTGATAAAATGTTAGAGTTTGGCAAGCGAAACGTGACACCACCTATTTTTCCGTTTTCATATGGCAACAACATAGAACTGTCAGTTTGACACTACGTTAGACAATTCAAGAATATTGAATTTTGTTGTTTTTGCGAATTTGAACTTGTGTTTTTGGTTAAAAATTATGTCGAAGCCGATAAAAAGTTCATCGAGGAAACTTCTTTCCATCATGATTGACAAGTTTACTGAAGTGAAAACTGAATTAAATAAAAATTTCATGGAGAAATTACAACGATTAGATAAAGTTGTATCTTTTTTAGGTTAGTTTTGTATTATAATTTTGATACTTTCGTTTTAATTTTCTGTAATTAACTAAACAGATATTTTTTATAAAATATTGCTCTATTTCAGATAACTGTGATGGTGATATTCAACCAATAATGGAGGAGATAAATGCAATAAAAACTTTAGAAAAACAAGAAATGCTGAATTCGGAAACGCAGTACTTACAAAAAATTTCTTCAATGACAGGTCTCTTTTCTTGTTTTGATTTAAGATAGATTGATAGTATTCCTATAATATTTACATAGGTTTTTTATGATGTATTGGTTTTTATTGTTGACATCCAATGATGTCATAAGAATGTTTTGTTTAACAAGGAAATTCACAGAATTCATGAAACTAATCAAACCATGTAATTGTTATACATGCTAAATATGCACATAAACTTAACTAAATTAAACATAAATTGCATTCATAGTTGAATAGGTATTTAAATTATTTTGATGTATGTGTCTATCATTATTTGCTTTTAAATACATTTAACATATCTTTGTTTCAAAGTGTTTAATCTTTTATAGATGTAAGTATAAGGACACTAAGAAGGATAAAAAATGAAGCATTAATTAATAAAGGAAAATGGGACACTCCTGGGAAAAAACGACCTCATCAACCAACAGTGTCTGCTTTAGATAATTTTGATTTAAGTGCAATTCGGAATAAAGTAAATGAATTTTACTGTGTGAAAAAAATTGTTCCAACATTAAGAAGCCTTCACAATGAATTAAAAGATGCAATAGGATTCAGTGGTAGCCGTGAGACTTTACGAAAAATTATGCTTAAGAATGGATTTTCTTTTAAAAGCAATGAAAATGAACGTTCTATGCTTATAGAAAAATACCAGATTTCTGCATGGAGGCACAAGTATTTGAGAGAAATAAATATAAAACGAAACGAAGGAAAGCAAATTGTGTACCTTGATGAAACTTATGTACATCAGAATTATAAAGTTAAAAAGTCTTGGCAAGGACCTTCAACAACTGGTGTCACTACAAAGATATCCTCTGGAAAACGGCATATTGTTGTGCATGCTGGATCTGAGGAAGGTTTTGTGCCTGGTGCATTATTAGTGTTCAGTAGTAAATCCAAATCTGCTGATTATCATGATGATATGAACTCATCGAACTTTATGAAATGGGTCAGAGAAAAATTAATACCAAATTTAAGTAAGCCCAGTGTAATTGTTATGGATAATGCCAGCTACCATATAAAACAAATCAATAAACCGCCTATAATGTCTAATACCAAAGCAGATATCCGTAAATGGCTTGTAAATAATGGAATACATTTTGAGGAATATCAGACAAAGGCAGAGTTAATGTGTTTGGTTAATGATAAGAAAACATTGCCTGTATATGAAGCTGAAGAGATTTTAAAAGAACATAATCATGAACT